TTAATTAATTCTTCCATGAATTAGGAAATAATTTTATTAATTGAAAATTGAAGTTGAAAGATGTTTTTGGTACTTTTTGAAGTTCAAGGATGAATTGGTTCAAAAATGAAAGTTGAGGGACCAATTCAAATATTTAACCTAAAAAATATGTTAGCCACGTCAACATCACTATTCAATTAATTCTTAAATAAAAAAAAATTGAAAGTTGACATCCTTAAATAGAAAATGTTGAAAGTTGATATCATTATTTAGAAACTGACAAAATTAACATCTTTATTTAGAAAAAAATTGAAAGTTAACATCATTATTTAGAAACTAATAAAGTTAACATCATTATTTAGAAACTGACAAAGTTAACATCCTTAAATAAAAAAAAATGCAAAGTTGAAATCCTTATTTACACATTTATTCACCTATACAACAAATTAACTTTATCAATGGATGGGACTCAACCTTGCTCTTAGTATAAGATCATAGAATCTTAGAATTAAATTTCACCAGCAACTTGGGAACCAAACTCCCTGGTTAACCGGCTCACAATCCCTTTGATATAGGATTATAATATCTTTATGATTTCACTCAAAAATGGATGTTATATTTTGAGGGGCTGTGATAAGGGAACAATATTTTTGTATAATTTTTTTATACAATTTTCATACATTATTAAATAAGTAAATGTATTTAATATCACAAGTTTCAAATAAATAGAAATAGACAATCATTTAAATAAATGACATGCAAAAAGTTGTACTAAAAGGTGATATAAAAAATTATCTTTGAATCATTTTCCTATTTTGAGTAGTAAAAGGATTACTGCATTGTGATGAAGGTAACACTATTCTCCTCTGTGATTGATCAGTTTTCTTTTCCAAGTAGAAATGAAACTAGAAATTATACCATGCCATTTCCCTGAAGATTTTAAAGTATCAATTAAAATCACAATGCCAAGGAAATCCGTTTACATTCCGTTCTTAAATCAAACTAAGCCCCCAAAATGAATTAAAGATTCCTTCAAGCAATATCTTTCAATTGTTTTTTGATCCTCCCCTAACTATATGGTTAGCAAAGATCCTCCAAAATTAGAATCCCTGGGGAACCTAGCCTCCCTACCTCGTCCAACATCTCCATGTCCGCAGTACCCCGGTTTCTTGAAGACACGATATGTTAAGGTCAAGGAGCTTGTGTGTTTCGCAATGGTGTCAGGATTTACTGGGATGAAGTACCACTTATTGAAGAAAACAGTGACAAAAGTAAGGTGAAGAAGGACCATTGTTTGGGGATTTTTGAGTTCTTGAAATTCAACTGGGGTTGGAAGCATTAAAGATTAGCTAGACAACAGTTTGATAAGGATATAATTTAATTGTAGATATTGTTCCTCAGGCATGACTAGCTAAAGAATAGTACTCTAGGTCATAACGTTCTCTTAAACACTTTGTTCATGAGAAACAGAAAATAATAATCTCATTCGAGATGTTGTTATAGGGGTTTATAACTTTATACAGAATTGGAAATATTTATATATGATTGTATATTATCCTTCTCCCTTTTCTTTTATATGAATGCATCTTTTATTTTAAGTAATTTATTTGAGCTGATTGGGACGTGGATGTTTTAATTCTGTGAAGTTGTGCAGGTTTGAACGTCAGTTAAATTCCAACCATTCAAAATCTGAAAATAATTATAAAAAAAAAAATCAAAAAATTACATTCGAATCAACTTCAACTTCTATATAGTAAAGAAAAATTTTCAAAGTTAGTCCTAGGGATGAGAATGAGGTTGGAATGGAGAGGAGACAGGATGTGACTACAAGGAGAGCCGTCCTAATTCAGTAATTCCTCTCCACGTTTCTCACCATAAACGGGAATGTCAGCAAAACAATTTGGTTGGGATGAATTCTTTTGCATTTTAAATATTATGTAAAATTGTATTAAAAAAATTGTATGAAAAGGTAATCTCTTAATCATTTTTCAAAATATTTTGAATGAAGAGTGCAAGAGAAAGTGATGCGAGTACTCCTCTTGTAATTTAAAACAGCAAAACTTTCTGTCCTTAATTTTGAATTTGGTACAAGTTGGTATCCTAATTTTTCACTTTTGCCTGTTTCTTAAACAAAATTACAAAATTTTCGATATTAGATGGCACAAGCCCAACAAATTAATTCGGCCAGTAGATGTAAAACAAAGCTTAATGGACTAGATCCATCAAACATTTTACCCCTATGGGCTCAAACATTTTACCCCTATGGGCTCAAATGATCTGACAATGAACCCAAAATTCTCTATTTTATTTTATTCACCGTTAAAATTTAGCAACGTAAGAACAATCTTGAAGCACCGCCTGGGGAAAATAAGTAAATAAATGCAGGTAGAGATGATTACGAATCTGCAGAAGAAATGCCGAAGTCTGGTAATTCTTCTGAAATTTTTTCACCATCACGACTTCGTTCCTCTCCGGCGACTCTTGCACAATGGACCAGACACCGTGGACGAGCTTCTGGACAGACACATTGTGATGAAGGAGAAATCCCTAAATGATGAAGAGGAAGAGTTGCAGAATAAGCGGCGACTCACCAGCAATCGGCGCGAGGCGCTGAGTCTCTACCGAGACAGTCTCCGTGCAACGCGGTTCTTCATGTGGTCCGATGCTCGAGGCGTCGTCTGGAGAGTAACGGAGTTCGAGGAGGCTCGGTACGAGAAAGATCCAGAAATTATAACTCGATTACTAATCGGCGGGCGTGATGCCGTCGAATCGGCTCTCGAGAAGCTAGCAGAGAAGCAGAGGCAGCAGATTGCCAAGGAGCGCGGTGGCGGAGATAGACCGCGAAGAAGGATGCAGCTCAAAATCAAATCAAATCTGTAAGGATTTGTTGCTTGGTCAATTTTCTAACTAAATCATGGATAGATGTATTCACTATCTGCATTTGTTGTCCTGTGATTGAGAAAGGTGGAATCGAATTGAAATTGCATGGATAAATGAGTTGATTATGGTAACACAGATAAATGACATTTTCCTTCTTACCTGAGCAAATTCTATTTTTCAGTTTATCATCCATATCTACCGTTCATATGTATCCTTGAATCAATATTTTCGGGAAATGTTTATTTTCATAATATGGTTGCAGAGGTTAGAGAACTGGATTTTAGTTTCTGGACATGCTACTGAGGCGTCCAGAAGCTTGAATTCAATCCTTCAGAATTTATAACTTTCTGAAAATGGGTACAACCTCATTTCCTTCAGTATGGACTGTAATGGTATGTTGATTGGTATTTGTATTTTAGAAGAAAAAGTTTGTGAACGGAGTATGTAATGAGTACCGGAGAATATGGATAATGAATCATGGTTCCTACTCCCTCCTAC